ATATATATATATATATATGAATTTTTTATTTATTTATTAAAAGGAATGGTTGGAGGCTATCATACGAGCCTCCAGCCATCCTTAATGTGTCTAAGAATTTGAGTACCACCTCCTTAAGGCCAACCGTGCAAGTGGGGATTCGAACCTCCGGTTCTTATACCGTGAATGCAAACCAACATATCAGGGTATGTCGCACACATATATATATATCTATGTATTTCAGCTGTATTTCGGGTGTAATTATCTCATTTTTTTTAAAAGATTTGATTATATAAGACATGAATGTATTATGATTTATTTTGTTTTACAAGGAGAGATTTATATGGTATTAAGATTCAAGGGGCTTTATTTTATTTGCAGATAATGGTGGACTTGGATGCACCAAACCCTAGCAATCCGACACTGAGAGAGTATTTACACTGGTTCGTTTCTACCATCATGTCCTTTATTGATTCCTGATATTTTTTTAACAAGCTGAGTCTAGACTTGCTCAAGCTCGGCTCGTTTACACCCCTAACGGCTGCATGCATGATTGTGGTTGTCAAAATGGTTTTTTTTTTCACGAACAGCTTATGTTCAGCTTGTTAAGCAAATAAGTCGAACACGAACAAATTTTTTGTGTTCGAAATATAAAAGAGACGAACACGAACAGTGATAGTTTTTAACAAGCCGAACACGAGAGCTCGCTCGTGTTCAGCTCGTTCACACCCCTAATTACTATGTTATAAAAGTAAGCTGATTATTTAATTTAAATTACTTGTACATGAATAATTTTTTGGTTTGACAGGATTGTGACTGATATCCCAGGAACAACAAATGTAAGATTTGGTAAGTAGCCGTACAAAATATTTTTATTCCTTTTATTTATTTAGTTTTATTTATTTATTTAATTTTTTTTTAATATGGAATATATTAAAAAAAAAATTTTTAATTTTCTGAATGAACCTCTTATTTTTTCCTATTTTGTCTTGGAATGATCTTTCTATTTTTGTGATTTAGAAACAGTTGCTGAAAATACTTTTTGTTGGGGATCAATTTTTGTTTTTTTTTATTTTTTATTTTAATAAAAAATGGGAAACAAAAAATATAAATAGCTTTTATTTATCTATTTTTTATTTTATTTCTATTTTTTTTTGGAAGACTTCTGTTTTTAAAAATATTAAAAACAGAAAAAATACGTTTTTAAAACACCAAAAGTCATTCACCCATAAATAGTACATACATAATATATATATATATATATATATATATATA